GAGTACTGTGTTCAGTTTTGGGCCCCTCACTACAAGAAGGACATCGAGGTGCTGGAGCGTGTCCAGAGGAGGGCAACGAAGCTGGTGAAGGGTCTAGAGCACAAGTCTTATAAGGAGCGGCTGAGGGAGCTGGGGTTCTTTAGTCTGGAGAAGAGGAGGCTGAGGGGAGACCTTATTGCTCTCTACAGCCACCTGAAAGGAGGTTGTAGCGAGGTGGGGATCGGTCTCTTCTCCCAAGTAACAAGTGATAGGACAAGAGGAAATGGCCTCAAGTTGCGCCAGGGCAGATTTAGGTTGGATATTGGGAAAAAATTCTTCACTGAAAGAGTAATCAGGCACTGGAACAGACTGCCCAGGGAAGTGGTTGAGTCCCCATCCCTGGAGGTATTTAAAAGAAGGGTAGACGTGGTGCTCGAGGACATGGTTTAGTGGTGGACTTGGCAGTCCTAGGTTAACAGTTGGACTCAATGATCTTAAGGGTCTTTTCCAACCTTAAGGATTCTGATTCTATGACTAGAAGGCAGAAAAAAATCCCAGGTATGATGAGTCTTCACTCAACAGAAACCACAGGAGAAAGGTAGATTCTTCACTTCAAGTCAGTACCCATTTTGGAGGATGAAAGGTGACCAAAAGTAATCCGTCTCTGGGAAATTTCATTAGCTTTCTGATAATTAGGTTAATCTGACAGTCTGGTGAAGCCAAACCAGGATTACAGGTGTAAGAATGCTATGTGATCTTTTTCTGCACCTATTTCTTTATATAATATTTTTTTCTGAACTCTACATAGAGTAGAATACTTGCTTTCTTTTCACTTGTACATGAACATTGTCTAACTCACTGACTCAGGTGTGGCTGGCAAACTACAGAACACTACAGCCTCTATTTTCCAGGGAGTGACAATGCCAAATAAAGTAACGCTCACACCCCATTCTACGGGATCAGGGTTGCAAGATGATGCACAACCAAACCACCAAAGTCCATCCTTCGGCAAAAAGAATTGTCTCAATTGAGAAGAGTTAAGCAGAGTATCTTTGTCAAGTAGCAGGAGAACATGGGCGCTCCCAAGTCAAGGCTATCTTCCAGACTGCAAAAGAGACAATGGAAAATCGACTATAAAGAAAATGTTTAAATATTTATTTGCTAATACTCTGTCTTAAATAGAGCTAAACATATTCTATAAAACCAGCTCTAGGCAAGCCCTATTCAAATATTTGATGCCTTAAATCACCTTAAATCCAGGAACCCTGGACTAATATCAGTGACGTCAGAAGGAACTAAACCTGCAACTGTTCTTATTTACACCAAACACAAAAACAACTTCAGGAAAACTGGTGAAGCTATTCATAAAAGGCTGTATTTTACATACTTCTGTTGATAACAGTCGTCTTGTGCAGTGATGAACTTTAATCTGAAAGCAAGTTAGTATTATTCTAATACTGGATGGACAAAAAGAAAAATAATGAATGACAAGAATCCCACCCTGTTAAAGGACCGTTAGGTGGCCAAACATAT